GGCCGCAACTTCGCCAGAGGGTCGCGGCGGGTCGTGGGCACCAAGCACGTTCGAAATGTATGCTGCCAGCGTGCGGGAGGAGCCCGTCCTGGTGGTGAACTCCCCGGAGGCGTTCCAGCAGTACTCTGAACGTGGTGACCCTTCGAAAATGATGTTGTACCTCCCAGAGCGTAAAAGCCCGCCGAGCGAGATGGACCCTGCGTTCCTTATCCATTTTAGGAAGGGCCACGCGGAGCACGACCCGAAATGCGACGTTTGCGTGCAGGCGAGGCTTCGTGCTCGCCCGGCCCGGCGGGTGCACCAGGAGTCTCCTGGAGGAGAGGTTTCTTCAGACCTCTCCGGCCCCTTGCCCGTCAGCCTAAACGGTAACAAGTACGCCTTCGTAACTGTAATCCGGCTTTCCAGGCATGGCTTTGCAAACCCGTTGCCAAACAAAGAGTCTCAAACAGTGCGAGACGCGATGATCGATTGCAAGCTCGATCAGCGACGGTTGTGGCGATTCCATTCGGACGGCGGCGGCGAGTTTAAGGGGGAAGTGGACAGGTGGCTCCGGGAATGCGGTCTCGTTCACACCGACACTGGCGGATATAGGTCACAGGCCAACGGGATCGCCGAACGACGCATCCAAGAGTTGTTCGAGATCGTTCGGGCGCTCCTTCTGCAATCGGCCGCACCCAAAGAACTCTGGGACGAAGCACTCGTGCACGCAAGCGCCTTGTTCAACAACACCCCCAGAACCGTGCCAGGACACGACGGTAAGGTAGTTCCTCAAGTACTCGAGACTAGTAGTAGCGAGGACGTAAGCAAATGGCCACCTTGGGGGTGCAAGTGTTTTTACCTGATCCCCAAACCGGTGCGGACGGACAAACTAGACGGAGTTGCTCGACTAGGCGTGTTCGTCGGTTTCGACTCGGAAACGGTCAATGGGGTGAGGGTTGCGCCGATTATGTGTTGTGGGGGCGAGTGGGTTGTCGAAAAACCGATCGTCTCGACCACTGTCCGCACTGTCGACGCCGAGTTCCCCCTGAAGACTCGCGATAGTAAGCTCGACCCCCTCGACGGCGTCTTCGACTTCCCGGACTCGGATACACCCCGCTCCTGGAAGGACTCCGCGGCTGCGGAGACCGGCGCGGCGGCGCCGGCGGCGGGTCCACAGGCGGCGGCAGGGGACAGTCGAGGTGTTGCGCCACGCCCGACTGGAACCGCCGCCCCTGACGGCCCCGCAGCACAGGCCACAGCACAACCACGACGCCCCAACAACCGTTTCGCCACGGTTGAGGAGCAGCGCGCCTACTGGCGCGAGCGTAAACGAGAGCAGGTTCGTAAACGCGTCCGGCCCAACCTCCTGGCCACGTCCGTAGAGAGCCATGGTGGCGATGAGTCCGATTGGGACAGCGTCAGTGCGTGTAGCACTCCTTCGTCTTTCGCGTCCAATGCGTCCGACAGCGATGACGTCCAGCCGGATTTGTCTCGAGATGAGGTGGCTGCGTTGGCGACTGCGGCTCGCTCGCTCCAGCCATTGCGTTCCGTAGGCGCCGCTGCCGTTACGACGGGGCCTGGCGATGATGTTTTCCGCGTTTTCGCGAGTGTCATTACTGCCCAGGACCCCGTCGCCGAGACGTTGTACGTCTTAGGCCGTCAGGCGGCGCATGTCACGCAGCTGATGGACACGAAACTGTATCTCCAACGCCCAGATGGCCGCGGAGCTCAGGCGGCGGCCAAGGAGTTCGATCGTATGGCCGAGCACCCCGTGTGGCTTGCGCCACAAGAGCTGTCGTCGATTCCGGAGGGCGCCCGAGTTGTCAAAGGGAAACTCCTGATCTCTGAGAAGAACTGGGAGCAACCAGAAGCACTTCACGAGTGCAAGGCCCGTTTCGTAGCCATGGGTAACGTCTTGTTCGACAAGCGTATGAAGGTAGTACGTTCGCCCTCCGAGTCGTTATGGGCGCCCGTAGCTAGCCTCACCGGCGCCCGTTTCGTCCAGGCACGTTCTCTCGCGATGGGTCACGAGACGGAGACAATCGATCTTCTTAGTGCGTATCTTCAGGTACATCTAGGAGGAGAGGAGGAGTATTACATCATCATCCCCGCTGAAGTCATCGACATTCTGCCGCCACACGTCCAACAGCAGTTCCGCTCGTTGAAGATGCCTGTGTGTAGATTGGTCCGTGCGCTGCATGGTCTTCAGCGTTCTGGTTCGGATTTCATAACCGCTTTCACCCAGTGGCTCCTTTGGAACAGGTGGCAGTTCATGGAAGAGGAGCCGGCTGTATTCTATTTGTGGCACGGGGACTCCGACCGTGAAGCCATGCAGCACGCTGCAAAACTGAAGGTGTGGGTCGATGCCGAACACGCTGCCGGCAGGAACCCTTTCTCTTCCGGTTCACAGTCCAGCCACACGTCGTGGCGTGACGTCTCCCTGTCCTTGGCCTCGTCGCAACACCGTGTACGAAGGAGTTCCAAACAGTGCAGCACAATGGCAACTTACGTCGACGATTGCGAACTGGACGCTGGCAAACGCCACCGAACCCACATTTGGGATGTCATCAGAGTAGGCTTCAGCAGCAAGGCCCCAGAGGTTGTCCGCAAGTTCCTTGGCTGCTCGTGCAGCGTCCCTCGCCAGATGACTCTTGCAGATGGTCGGACAGGAGTCGCCGTCGTCTTGTCCCAGTCGGAGTACTGCCAGAGGATCGTCCGAGACTACGAGGCGGTTGTCGGCTACAGCGTAAGACCCGTCACAACACCAGCGCAACAAACGACCCCTCCTCGACCAGAGGATCTGGCGCCAGCAGAGGCTGGAACCGGTCGCCGTAGGATTATCGGTGAGGCCTTTTACGCAGCTCGTTGGACGAGGCCGGACTTCTCGTTTGCAGTTGGCCGTCACGCTCGGTATGTCGACAAATGGTGCCCTTGGGCAGAGGCAGAGCTTGGCCACTTCGTCGGTTACGTCCTCTTCAGCTCGGAGCTTGGCCTCGTGATGCTAAATTCTGGGGATTCTTGGGACGACTTGGAGCTCCACGCCTGGAGCGACGCAGATTTTTCTGCGCCCAAGAGCACCACGGGCTTCTACCTGGAGCTGACCGGCCCGAAGGGTTCCCAGTACCCGCTGTCGTGGGGAGCTGCCAGACAGGATGTTACGACCACTAGCTCTGGAGAGTCGGAGGCTCTCGCCTGGAGCAAAACGGCGAAACAAAGTATAAGGGTAGCCGCCATGATCGAGTACACCCGTGCTGCTCCGGTTGTCGTCCGGGGCCACCTCGACAACCAAGCCGTGCAGCTCGCAATCCAGAAGGGGTATAGCCCAAAACTCGGGCACCTCAAAAAGCACGCGGAGGTGAGCTTGCTCTTCCTTAAGCAGTGCGGGGTACTGCCAGAACACACGCCAGGGGCCGAAAACATCGGCGATGCATTCACGAAAGCACTAGGACACAACAAGTTGATGTACCTCGTCGGTAGGTTGTTCGGTATTCCTGTTACCCAGTTTCCCAATGGTTCGGTTAAGGTTGGGATGCTAAGGTTGGCTACACCGGGTGCCTCTTCATCATCATCATCGCCAGCAGCATCTGGAGAGCACGTGGAGATGTTCCCGGGGCAGAGGATGGTGGAGCGCACCGCCAGGGCCGCAATGTTGGACAACGCACAGTACTTGGGGCAGCTCGCTGGGAAGTGCGACACGAACCAGCCACTCCAGGCCGAGCGGCGCGAAGAGCTGTTGGATCTGCAGGGCCAGCAGCTCTGGAAGGCTGACCGCCTTCAGGAGCGCATCCGGGCAGACGCGGCCGGCGCGGCCGCCAGGAGGGAAGGTGACAGTCGCGCTGCTGCGCCACGGCCGACTGGATCCGCCCGGTGGCGCGCCGACGTGGCCGCGAAGGTGCCGAAGTGGGTCGCAAGCCACAAGGGGCATGAGCGGAATCGTGCCAGGGCAGACCCTCGCCCGGAGCTCGTCCCGGACGCGCCGCAGGACACCGGCCCCGAGCAGCAGGCGCGGGTCGTGCAGGTCGTGATCGACAAGCACCCGCGCGACGACATGTTCACGGCGCTGGTGAACAACCCGCTAACCGGGGCAGAGGAGACGCAGTTCGGCATCCAGCGCGAGGCCCGTTTCTGCCATTTGTGGGCGGAGATCGGTCGCAGGGTCCCGGGTGCAATCGCATTGGTGTCGGAGAAGAACGTTCCGCTGCGGACCCTCCGCGGCGACTACCTGGTGAAAGACATCCCAGACCTGGACAACGACCTCTTGGAGATGAACCTCTCCACCCCCGAGACCTGGGAGCTGCCTTACTTGCGGGGCCCCCGCAACCTCACCCGCAAGCCTCCCAACGAGGCGCAGAAGGCCCGGATGCGGAGCAACCGGACGGCGAACAAGCGGGTGCTGAAGGGCGCGCTCAAGCACGCCACGCCGAAGAGCAAGGCGGCCCCCAAGAGGTTTCCTGGTGCAACCTCCAAGGCTGCCGGCGCTCCTCCGGCGACCTGGTCTACTGAGCCGGGAACTTCTGAGTGAACGTATCTAGGCAAGGATGTGAAAATCCACGGAGAGAGTAGACAATATTTGGCGCAAGTTAGTTCTGTAGTCTGTAGCTGGCCCCCTTTTGTAATCTACCGCACTGTACTGACATCATTTGCAAATGTAATCTTCTTAGCACGGTGCATTTTTTTTCTCTGCGGGTGCACATCAGATTCCCTCTCTCGTCGTCCTCCCCCTCTATCTGTTGTGCCACCCGGCCCAGAGAAGACTTTCAGAACCGAGCCCTCTTGCACGGTCGCCGCAGGCCCGCGGCGCGGCAAGGCGGCGTGCGGGAGGGGTTGCCGCGCCCCGTGCGTGGCTCAAGGCCCCCCCAAAAGGGCCGCCGCGCGCTCCCGCAAGGAGGACGGGAAGGGGGGCGGGGAGGAGGAGGAGGGAAGAGGAGGAGGAGGAAGAGTAAGAGGAAGACGAACAAACAGAGGAAAGGGAATGCTATTACTAAGCAGAGGATGATGAAGAGGAGTAAGGACCGCGTATG